GATTAGCATGCTTTGTAGTGTCTGCTTCGTTTGTGGTTTCAGAAAGACCCTTTTTTTTTTTTTTTTACAAGCACTGGAGCCTCCAGCCTGGTTAGACATGGAATACGACTGTAACAGCAGCGTTAAAATGGAACTGTTAGAGCTTTGCAGTAGGAAACTCTTTCCACATGGTCATAAGGATATTGATTTCTTATGGTAATTGTTTGTCCGTGATAATAGCAGCACCTATTCATTTTGGTCTGCGTCTACTGCTAAGAATAAAACCCCTCTGTGCTTTACTTTCCCTCCTGTAAGGCATTAAAGACAACTGAGCAGAAACAGGACTCCCGCACAAAATGTTGAGTTAAACCAAAGCAGACAAACCTTTAAAACAAAATTAAAATACAGGATCGATAGTGAAAATAATTGAAGATGGAGGTCACTTATGTAATGCAAACTGTTTAGTATTACAGCTTTAGCCTTTAGCGTTGTAGTTTAAGTCTATATTAGTACAAATTTGTGCTTTATAGCTCATTCTGAAACTGCATTGCCAAAGAAATCCACTTTTTACAAGGTTTTTAAATGTACACAGCTTCTTGAAAACTAAAAGTGTGTGTTTCACATGAGCTCTTTTTTTTTTTTTGATCAAATTAAAATTTCCTGCAGTAATGTGCCTTATTTCTCAAAGTTGCTGAAATAAAAGCATCTGCTCTGGGAACAGTCTAATACCAGAGGTTCTCAGTTTACGATAAATCTGGTTTGAAGACCAAATATCGGATCACATTTCTTGTTAGATATTGAACAATTTTTTGCAGTGCTAATTTTTTTTTTTTTTTTTTTTTTTTTTACCCCCCACCCCCCAACCCACACGCACACACACACAGAAAAACAGGTTTCCTGCAGATGAATCTTTTGGGCTATATAACTGTTACTGCAGTTTTTTTTTTATTAAACTAAATCTGATCAGTAGAGAGGAGAGCCAGACAACACTGTCTTCTTGCACTGCTCTGCCCTCTGCTGGTCCCTTTTACACTGCTCAGAGTCCTACTATTGTTAAAATGAAAGATCAGAGCTGCAACAGTTAACTAATTGGTTGACTGGCAACTACTTTGACAACTGAACAATTGTTTGTCCTTTTTTAAGCGAAAAAGACAAACGTGTTCGTTCTAGCTTAAATGTCAGGAACTGAAGCTTTTCTTCCTCATACAATAGATAAACCTTTCTCCCTTTTTCTTGGAAATACACAAAACAACAATCAAGAAATTAACAGTTTGAACTGATAATAAAGGTAAATAATTAGTTAGGAATTAGGATATGCCAGCTAAAATTAGCCCAACCATAATCAACCTGGTGCTGGTCAAGTGGCATAGGTGTTTAAAAGACACTTGAAATTAGTCCAGTGACAAATATTACATTTATAAAATGTTTAATTTATTGCACAAACCTAAGGGAACAGAGTAGCGAATTACAAATTATACACAGCAAAGTATTTATACATTTTAAGGATAAGAAAAAGCGTATCAAAAGTTGTATGAAATATTAAAAAGGCACTAATATCTCCTTTTAAACCCAGTTTTTTTTCCCCCAACACAGACAAATTCTTGTCATATTAAACCTACTCATGTTTGCTTTCCATTTCACATTACCAAACTTTTTTTAAATCGTCACAAGGAAAATGCCTATTTTTCCTGATAATTACAGCCTGTGACGACTTGTCCACTGAGGAGTTTAAAACAAGAAGTAGCCTAGAGAATTTCTGGATTTGTACCCAAAATAAATGTTTAACTGCAACATCAGCACTGATCTACTGTATCTGATGTGGAAGTGTCAACTCTTAGCACCTCTGAGCTTTATAACTTCTGACAAACTGTAGGCACTCTACGTGTCAGAATGAGGACAACAAAAACAAAAAACACAGCAGCAGCTCAGAGATTAACATGTTTGCTATCTACCCAAACTAGTTTAAAAGACCCATACCAGAAGCCAGTAATGATGCAATTTCAAGGATCAACAGGGTCAGACAGAGGAATGCTGTAAGACAAGGACTTTGGAGAAAATAAAAACTGACCACTGCCCGGCCAGGGAGGAGGAAAGAAAAGGAGTTGGTGGAAACTACTTTAAAGGCAAATACAAAGAGACTTTTCTACTCTGCATCTTAAACAGTGCCCCAATACAAAAGTGTGTGTCTGTGTAATATCTGTGATTCTACACGCTTGCTCTGCGCCTGTAACACACCTCGTTCCTGTAATTTCACATACATTTCCCCTCTAAACTCCCTACGAACGCAGATAAGCAGCCCTCAGCGCGAGTGTGTGTTAGCCATGCGTTTCCTGTGGGTAGCGTCTAAGAGATGATGGCGTTACTGGCAAAATTAGGCGTGAAAATGTGCCACTAAGTGCTTTAAAACATTTTATACATATGAGCCTTCAAACTGTCAAGTAATGCGAGTGCTATTTAAACCTGTACGTGGTTTTCATTAGGGCTATAGATGTCATGTAAGCTCCCGTTTTCCATTAAACTCTTTTTTTTTTTGACCGGTCTGATCAACATATATACATTCTGCTACAACAATATTATTGTTACCTAATTTATGCATCTTTAAGCCATTTTTGTCCATTATTGTCCTTAATGTTGAAATTTTTTTAAACAAGTGAAAAACTGAGCAAAGTTAAAACTGTATCAGAATTTTTTTGGAGTCAAGTGTTTGTTTTTTTTATGAACCTTTTCACCTTGTATCACAAAACAGACCTGGGGCTGACTAATTATGATTAATCTGCCCTTTTCCCCCGTTTGACTGAAAACCTGGGGAAAATGGCACCACAAACGGATCCAAATCCAAAGAAATTCATTTTTTTGTCTGATAGTTTTGCTTGTGAAGTGACTCAGTGAATCAAAATAGTTCTGTTGATCAATTAAACTGATCTTTTCAGCTGTAGTAGAGACATTGAGGAAACTCCTCAAACAATCTCTGAACATTTTTCACTTGTTTTAGGGCTGAACAATGGTCAAAACTAACTTGATAAGATTATTCAGTTTGATTCATTACTTTAAGAACTTTAGTTACCTTACCTCTAGTAATCTAGATTCTCCCAAAAAAAGAACCCATTCCTACATTTGAACCCAAAAAGCAGCAATAAATAAAATAAAGTTCTATAAATGGAAGACAGTTGTTATTTCAGTGGTAAAAGTCTCACAGGGAACTAAGATTACCACAGTACATAAGCAGTGTTACTGGTTTGTTATACTGAATATACACCAAAATACTGCAACACTACACGGCCCCGTGTTAATACAATCGCAGACTATGGCTAAATATACTTACATAGTTCCTCTTAATTCCACTGAAAACTGTTATAAAAGTACAAGTGGTGGAAAGTTGACTGGTCTGGAAATATGCAAATACTTCAATTCAATTTACGGCTGACTTTTCTTTTTTTTTAAGTGTAATTATACAGGATGGATGTTTAAAATAGATCTTATGATATGTGACGGAAGAATAAGAGAAAATGGTGCCATTTGCTCAGAGCATAAAAATTGCTGAAGACCTTCAGGGGGCATGAGGCCACTATAGTGCTGCCATGGAAACATACTGTTATAAAAATGGTACCTGTCTTAATTGCTGCTGCACTGTAACATTTCTTTTTCCTGTTGAGGGTAGACTGTGGGGTTCGTAATAATGCGGGCAGTCAGAAACAGAACCACACTGGCCTGCAAATCAGTTCCAGTCACAGCGAGTGGATTCAATAGGTAAATGTATAAGAGCTGGCAATCAGACCTGCATTATATTATGAAAAGTTGAATGAGTTTCATCTGTGTTACTTTACACACTGAACTATATTGACTGTGTAGTTCAAATACAAAGAACACTTCAATCCATTGGGCCTAGTACATGCAAATAGCACCATTAATCCCTGCAAAAAAAGACAATAAAAGCTTCCAGTTCAAGATTTAAAACTTGGCACTTGTACTGATCTACTGTAAACACTGTCAAGGGAGATCTACTATAAGGCACTTAGGTGTTGTGTTACTACAGTGCACATCCTTCAACCCAGAGCCTTTCTGCATGCACGCTGAGTAACCTTAAAAATAAGCTACACAGACATTTGTTTTCAGACTCATACAAGCTTAACATAGCACCAGAAAAGGGCTTCGGCAAACGAGACTGGGTCCTCAGCTTCTGAGTGAACACATGAACCTCAGTTGTGCAACAGTGTTATAAAATTTCGTTTAGCACTGAACACAATGTATCAAACACACTGAGTGATAAAACTGTTTTGTTAAACGAGCACAACTGAACTGCTGCTAGTCGTCACAGACGCACATTGCCGAGACAAACAGCACAAACCTCTCCTTTGGAAAGTGAACCAGCCATTTTATGGCTGTAAGTGGAAATTACTCCCTCACTGCTCCTTGCACTCACACGCCGTCTTGTGTGGTGGGCACGGTCTCCAGATGAGCGGGGTGCTGAAAATCCCGATGATGCCCAGGTTGAGGATAAGGCTGATGGCCAGCGCCCCGATGGTCCCTAGGAAGGAGGGTGTTGCTCCGTGGGCCATGAGCCACGCCCTCCGTGAAGTCATGTCTGCTATCACCCCCTCCATCTGGAAGTGGGTCCCCACCACTGCGCTGACATGGAAGAGCTGGTGGCTGTGGCCTGCGTGAAGGAAAATTCAGTTAGTGAGACATTGAGGTACTGTGCAGTTAGAAACTGCACAGCTGCAGCTGTAGAGCTGAGCACATACAAACACTGGGGCTGGAGAACTGCGTCGCAGAGCTGAAATTATTTATGACGGTCGACAGCAAAAAATCACCAACAACTCTCTGGTTCCAGCTTCTCAAGTATGAGTGTTTGTTTTTTGTCTTGGTTTCATATCACTGTAAAATAATTCTCTGGATTTTGGGCTGTTGGTCTGACAAAACAGGCTATTATGTTTTCACTATTTTATGGCACACATATTTAATCACTTACCACCAAATGGATATTATTAATTGATCATGGAAAAAAACTGTCTGTCACAGTGGTTTTCTAGCCAGATTAACCAAGTGGTGTCCGGTATCAACTCGTCATCTTAAGAGCTGCAACAGTATGACAGTATGATAAGCGTCTTAGAAAATCTCATGGCTCCACGGTATTATACAATTATCAGCTGTGAGAACCCTCTAACGAATGAAAACAGAGCGATTTTGTTTAATTGCAAGTGACTGTGACAGTTGATTGAAGTGGACTGAAGCAGGACATTGACCCTAAAGAATAAACATGATTAAAAAAAAAATTGCATGCACTATGTTATACAACTAAAGCATGTCAGTTTGTATGTTAGCACCAGTAGTAGAGGAATTATTCACATCCTCTACTTAAGTAAAAGTACCATAGCAAATACCAATAAAAGTATTAAAAGTGGAGTTAGGCTACTCGAAGCTGAAAAATGTTATACCATGTATCCACAGTTATATTATTATTACATTAACAGCCCATCACTCATGCACTGAAGGATTTGGCTGTTGTAGGTGGTTGAGGTGCAGATCTGCTGAACTCTTTTGTATCCAAGTACAACTACAGATTATTTTCATTCCGGATTAAACAGCTAATTTTCTCCATTAATCAATTGACTGGTTTGAAAAGCTATTGACAATCATGAGACACGTCATCACGACGTTCTAAACGATTATCACAATAGCTGCGGTGTGCGACAATGCAGCCAGGCTGATCGTGTCTCTTCCCTTACACACAAAGTGTGTGTACATTTCTGGGGTTGGATCAGGATCAGCACGAGTCCTTTTGTAAGTGAGAGGTCAGCGGTTAAAGTTATAGATGGGACACTTTGGCATGCACGGAGGGATGGTGTTCATTTTTGGAAATGAACAAATGTATTTTACTGAATGCTGGAGTTCATTTAAGGAATTAAGTTTTTCTTGCAAAACACAAGATCATAAAATGATTATTACGAGTAAAGTCAACAGAAGCACGAGATGAGAACAGCTTTTAAACTGTACAAAAATTATATTCTTGTCTATTAGACAAATGATTTATTTGCTAAAATAATATTTCATTAATCAAATTACTGACTGTTACAAATACAGACCTCGGGAAAAATAATTTGTGTGAAAAGATATATACATATATTTTACCTGGGGTTAGAAGCATGTTTTAAAACTTTTAGTGGAGCTGAGATCAATTTTCTCAACAATAACTAACTTAATAATTACTAAGAAGTTTTAGTGTGAAAACTTTGTTTCAACTTCCACAACCACCATCAGTGAGCTATTTTTACCATCACTGGAAAACCATGTTCGTTCTCCTTTCCTTTGCACAATGCAGCTCTTCCTCTGCATTCAGACACATGAGAGGCTCAGGCAGTTGTAGACAATGAAACCTGCGTGAAATCTCACCAGAATAAACAAAACAAAACAATAAGTAAAGAAACAGGTGGAAAGGTTTGTGTAAGTTTAAACGCGGTTAAATCAAAAGCCTGTTTGATACAGAGCTGTTGTCCAGCAGAGAACACATTCAAGAATACCCAGAAATACAAGTCACTTGATTCATGAAGTTGCACTTGATCACACTTAGAAGCTATAACTCCACTGGAGCAACTGAGGATCCGATTCATTTCTTGCACTTATTTCCCCATCTTATTCTTTCACACAGCAAGGGGAGGGTGTGATGCACATTCAGTTTGCCCATAGTTGTTCTTGCTGTACACAGCCAAATAAGCTAGCTACAACCTATTAGAGCATCCCTGGAGGACATACCAAAGTAGTCAAATCGACCTGGGGCCAGCCTCTCCGGGAGGTGGGCAGTAAACAGGAAACAGGTGAGAAAGGCGAAGAGGAGATGATAGCAGTGATTGGTCAGGGCGTCGCTTGCACCACAGCTGTCTCTGCAGCACAGAAGGATCTACGCACAGGAAAACGTGTTAAAAATAAACATATTCAGAAACGAGCAGAGAGCAACAGAACTATTCTGAAGTCCTTCAAAAGACACCACACATTTAAGAAGTTATCAGCATTATGGACAAACTCCAGCGAATGGCCCACAAAAACTAATCATCACAGTGATTAGGGGAATGAACTGATGGCAGCGAGGCCTTTGTATTAGATTAGGAGGAAAATCAGTTTCTGGGTTAGTGAGCCAAAATCCTGCTCCAAGTATTAAAGCCTGGCACTAATAATCTCAGAGCTTTTACATAACAAGACAAACACTCAACCAATAAATTCTGTGGCTTTGGCAAAGTACAGTAGTCTATTGGAAATTACACCTTCAAATGCTGTTTTATTATTGTGATAAAACCAGACCTGAAACACAAGTAGAAATACCCCAAATCTAACACTCACCCTGTAAAAGAGAGGGACAGTGTCAAATATAAATGGAACGACAAACGCTGTGGTCTTAAGGACTTTACTTCTGTGTGGAAACTGCAAATCCAGAAACCTGCAGACAGACAACAGACATTAATCACTAACTGATTTTATAACCAGCTGTTAATATTAAGACATTGTGATCTGATTTTTTTTGACTCCCAGCCTCAGTATATAAGCCGCAGAAATCCTGTACTGTTCGGGCTACACTTCCTAAACCCTGCAATTTAGATTCCCTGTCTCGGTGCAGTACAATCTGCAGTCAACATTATGTATTCACTGTTGCTACGCACGCGAAGGACACTTTAATGAAATTACTCTGTGACCTTAGCAGTGGGCAGGTCAGTGGGCACTGGCACAGCTACATGTAAGACAACATTGTTTGTCTTGGGTCTCATAAAAGGTATTCTGTCACTGCCTGCTCCGCAGGACTAGACCACAGCATTAATCAATTTCACATTAGTTTTTATACTTTGGTTTTTACATTTAAGTCAATATTGCATTAAGGATAAAACTATTTTGCTGTTAAATCTTTTAAAAGATGTTATGAGAGCACCAAACGAGGTCAGACATTTGAC